CATTCTTTTACGCTTTTAAAGAGATCATTCACCAATTGTCTTGTATAAGAACTCCTTAATAGAATGCTATTGTTGAAAAAAATATCAGCATCTGCTGAATGTAGCTCGCGTTCTTCTTTTCCAAGCATCTTTGCCTTTAAAATTTTAGAAAGATGTCATTCTCACTACTCGCTTATTTGATAAATATGATACTTTCTTCTTTACTGAACAATTTGACACCTTATGGAATCTTATTCAAATTGTCACCACATTATGATCATTCAAAGATTTTTGAATCCTTATTTTTTGCTTGTACTCCTACTCGTCAAAGAAAGATATTTCATGCAAGCGATGTTCTTTATACTTTTCTTAGCTATCCTCTTGGAGTTAAAGGATATAGAGTTTATGATTTTGTTTCTTACAATGTCTTCATTTATAAGGTCTGTGATCTTTCATTAAACTATTTTTTCTTTTTCTATTTCATTTCCATATGAATTGTCTCTCATGTTTTCTTCCTTAACCATATCCAACATGTTTGATTTCAATAATATAAATACTTTCCATTTTATTTTTCCCAATCATATTCCTACTAAACCTATTACATCATCCCTTATGAATATCATCCCTAAGTATTTTCTTTTCGATTCATTTTTTTTGGTGTTTTATGATTCTTCTACCGTTAATTCTCCTTCTTCCTTTCATCACAAACCTTCTTCTTCCACACTTGTTATTTCTTTACCACCTTTACAAAGATCTAGGAGATCCACTAAAATTCATTCACATTTAAGTGTCTATAATCATTGTATTCCTTGTACAACTATTAATTTTTATAATAGTTTCATTCACACTACTCTATATTTCATTCATCACTATTTATCCGCATCTCAACTCTCTCCCTTTTATGCTATATTTACTATTTCATTATCAAACACATTTGAAACTGAAATTATTTTCAAGTTGTGAAATTTGATCATTTGAGAAATGTTATGCAATCGAAGTTGCTTGCTCTCGAGGATAACAACACTTAGATTGTGATTTTATTACTCGCAAGTCATCACACAATAAGTCGTAAATGAGTTTTCAAAGTTAAATTCATTGCTAATGGAAGTCTTATAAGGTACAAGGTTGCAAAGAGATATAGTCGAGTTGAAGGATTTTATTAAAAAAAGACATTTAGTCCTATTACAAAACACACTACGATCGATCTATTTCTAACCGTAATCGTTATTAAAGATTGGTATCTTTCTCAACTAGAAATTAATAAGGTATTTCTACATGGTGATCTTGAATAAACTATATTTCGGATCCTCTTTTTGGCCATGACCTTAATGAAAAGTATACGGATAATTCATAGATATTGGTTTGTATATTGCATAGATCCTTATATGAATTAATGCAAGCTTCCGGACAATGGAATACTAAATCTACTACGGCTTTGATTGAGTATGATTTTCAGCAATCCAAGACAGATTATTCCTTTTTTCACAATGTGCACTAATTCTCAAAATTCTCTTACTTTACTAATTTATGTGGATGACATTGTGATTGCTAGCAATTTTAATTATGACATAGCTAATCTTAAGCAATTCCTTAACATGAAATTTAAACTTAAGGATTTTAGTCCACTTAAGTATTTCTTAGGGATTGAAGTAGCTAGATCGTAAAAGTAATTGCCATATGTCAAAGGAAAAATTGATGTATGTTTCATAAAAGCTTCTTACCGATCCTACCGAATACGTACAATTGATGAGCAAACTTTTGTATTTAACATTTAACGGACTCGACATCCGTTATGCAATGCATGTTCTTGTTTAGTTTATAGATAAAATAGTTTTGGTTTATTTGCAAGCTATACATAGGGTGCTTAGGTATTTGAAGGATGTACCGGGACAAGGCTTGTTGCTTTTAGCCAAGTCATCTCTTTAATTAAGGTCTTTTTTAGACAATGACTAGGTCGATTGTTCTCGAGATCAAAAAAACAATTTCGGGGCTTTGCATATTCTTAAAAAAGTTCTCTCGATTAGCTAGAAGTGTAAAAGAAAAGTTTTATAGCTCACAATAGCACAAAATTGAATATAGAGCTATTACAACTATTGTAGGATCTAGGCATCACACGCACAATGCTATTTTTTCTATTATGTGATAATCAATCTACTTTGCATCTTTATAGAAATTCGAGTGTGTCATGAAAAGACTAAACACGTTGAAATTGATTGTTATTTCATTCGTGTGAAAATTCTCTTTAGACTTATTCGAGTCTCATCACCTACCTACCGAACAACAAATTGCCGATAACTTTACGAAAACCTTACAATCTGAATTTTTTCATGATTTGGTTAGTAAGATGAGCATGGACAACATTCATACTCATCATGAGGGAGAGTATTAGATTATAAGATAAATTCACATGTGCGGATTGTTAACGACAATGCCACATGGAAGAGTTTGTTATTTTCTTTAACGAGTTAATTTGTTAAACTAATTATGTAGTTACTTACAAATAGTTAGTATGTTAAGCATGTATAGATGGGACTAACAATGCGTGTAATTGGTTAGTTCTTCAATTTGAATCAAATATCAACTTTACCGAAGATTCTTCTCTCTTCCTTCTTGCCATGGAAGTTAATATTATTTAATATTATTGACATACATAAGATACCGTATAACATATAATCAAATGATCAATATTAATAGATTATAGCTGGCATAGAAAAAAAAATCGACTATAATTAAAATTGAGAGACAATTTAACATGTTTTTTTTTGGTAAACTATAAATTAGTTTTTTTTTTTTTTAAGGAAATTGAGAAATAAACTAATTAGCTTCCTTGTTTTAAAAATTATTTATTTAATCCATTGTCAAAGTTTATCATATTTAATTTAAATATTATTTTATTTTTTAAAAAATATATTTTTCTCGTCAACCTTTCCATAATACCTATTTACTTTTTTTTCTTTTACCTCGAGTAGAAAAAAATAGAAACGAACACAAAATAGGTTAAATAATTAGTTTTTAAAATAACAAGACTAATTAATTCGTTTCTCCAAACTAAAAGGGCTAATTTGTAATTTAATTTCTTTAGTTTTTCAAAATGAATTAAATAATATCTATAGTTTCAAAAAAGAATTAATTAGTGCCTACATTTTAAAATCTATTTGTAACTTAATCATTTTTATTTTTTTAATTTTTTTTTAAGAAATAAAAAATAAAAAGATTGATGAAAGAAAACCCGAAACAAAGTAATATTAAATTAATTATGATTAATATTGATTACGGATTAATTAATTAATTTTTGAAATAAGAAATGCTATTTAACTCATCTTGCAAAACTAAAGGTACTAATTTATAGTTTACCTTTTCTTAACATCTAAAAAATCTAAAATGAAGGTTTAAATTCGTGATATGCTTGCTCTAGGAATAAAGCCAAGTGGTAAATTAAATTTGAAAATCAATAACGGAAATATCCTGACAAATATAATAACAGAATGTTCATAGTACCATTCGCAGATCGAGATAGATTGCGTGGATGTTATTGGGCGCCTTTGACAATGACATTGTCTTGGTGGGATCCTCTTTTTGGTTAATATTATTCGTCCCTGTAATTCTACAAAACTAATTAATTACTTTTTTTGTTTCAAAAATTATAATTTAATCCTCTATTTTTTAAATATATTTTCAATCATTTTTTTTTATCAATAATATGATCTTTTCCAATATGTTTTGTTCATTTTAAAGGAAAGAAGATAAATTAGTAAGGTAAGAAACTTTTTATTAGTAAAGAAGATATTTGGAAGCTAAAACTATTTAATTAAAGGATGATGGTCAAGGAATTATCATTTATTTTTCTTACTATAGAGACTGATTACTAGTTTCAATAAGTTACAAGGACTAGTAATCATTGTCCTATTGTTTTTAACGTCATCACTTGTCCTCCCAAAATAATTAAAATATTCTATATTTATTTATTTTTTAAAAAAATTCTCTTTTACACCTACTATCAAAACTCTAAAAAATATACTTTTTTAAAAAACATTTCTAATTGATAAAAAAATCAATATTCTTCGGACAAAAATTGTCCTTTTTTTATTTTTTCTTATTTAATAAAAAAATTAATATTTATTTTATACTTTTTATGCATATTTAAATATCTTTAACATAAAAAAATTCGATTAAATTTTTTAATTATAAACAACATATTAGTTACTGTAGAATTAAATTTTAAAAATAAAAATATTTTTATTAATATACATTTTTTTTCATAGTTGATTTAAAATTAATAGTTAATTAACTCAATGATTTTTCCTTTGATTTATTACTTTAATTTTTAATAGATTTTATTCTTAAATTAATATTAATTTTAAGCAATATGGAATTAAATTTGATAACAAATCAATTTCATAAAAAAAGATTTAAAAAAATATAAACAGAAAACATTAATATAATATAATAATAAATAATTTTTTTAAGAGTACAACTAAATTAGTGAATTTCACGGTATCTTCTTTTAAATGGTGTTGAAAAAAAAAAAAAAACAGCCTCAATATAATAAGAGAGAGAGAGAGAGAGAGAGAATAGTCCAAGTAAATTCACTTGTGGGACCGAACTTTTACCACGCGGAGAGCACTACAGACCGTATTGACTCGATCACTCCATTTCCAATCTTAACCGCCCATTCTATATGCTGAATCTTTTACAAGTCACCTCAAAATGGCACACGTGTAAGCACCACGTCCTGCCTCACACTTTACAAAATATCAGAAACACGATAAACATTTTTAAACGGATCCTGGGTCCCATTCCGACGACACACAATCCTACAGCCACGCATGCAATTAATCGGACGAAGGAAAACAGGCCACGCCATCTTAGAATAAGAAGGTATCTTCTGCCAACAAGGCCTGCCTTTGCTTAAAAAGCATCTTACCACGTACTCCAAGTGGTCCCCACAAGGCTTCGCATATGTCGGTGTATGTGGGCCCCATGAAGACAGAGGTTGCTTACCACCTCATGTGTTCCCTCTCATGGACTTTCCAGAGATCTTAAATTGCCCACGTGTCGGCGACGATACTCCACGTGGGAGGAGTAGAAGCGGTTGCTTTTCATTGCTTTCCGCCGTCCTCGAGCTCATCCAAATATCCAATCAGGGATGGAAACGGTAGGATACCCATATTGGAACCTCAAACTGACAAACCAATATCCCTTTAAAAAACTACTCATAAAACCGTGCTCTACAAAACCGAGTCCGAGATCACCATGGGTTTCCTATTCATCCATGTATCACACTGAAAATTTATAAACAAGTAACATTCATATCATGCCTGCTATATTCTTTCCTCGTAGTAAGAAACAAGGAAATGGACAAACTATAATGTCAAAGGTATGATTCTTAGTTGAAATTCTATATTCAAATCTTTTCCTCTTATATCGATGGACGTTAAACGTTTGGTGAATGTAAATGCATATATTGTGAAATGGTTAAAGGGACAGTGAATGTGATGCTTCACCAAAACCCAAACCATAACCAAAGCGATGAGATCTGAATATGTTAATGACCTATCGGTCTAAATAACTATTGAATATCATAATTAAATTTTATACGAGTTTGATAGAAATTTTAGAATACTACAAGAAAAACTATCAACACTTATATATTTATTTTATAAATTCATTTCAAATGTGGAGATAAAAAAATCACATTTAAATTTATTAAAATTAATAAAGATATTTTTGTTTATGTTAAATATATATATTAAAAGTTATCTATCATGTTTATCTTTTCTCTTTGTATTTATTTTTCTTTTCTAAAATAAGTATTGATATTTATTTCTTAAATACTATATCATTGAAAGGTGTTTGAAAACTGCCATCCCTATCAAAATATTGTACTTTTTTTTCATTGAGCATTATTATGTTTAATCTAATGTTAAAGTATTTCTTTTTATTAGCCGCTTAAACATTTTCTTTGATACATGAATGATTGGAATTTGAAGGAGTGAGTGTTTTGGCAATGTTAACTCTAGTGAATTAGACGATTTGCGCAGTCTAGATTTAGTCCCACCGAACCAGTTTCTAAATATGATATCTACTTATATTTGTGAGCTTATGTTCTCATCTGGAGTAGGCTTAGATGATCAGGGTGAAATGCAATAATCCTTGAATGATATAACATAAAGGATAGTGTTAGAAATACTTGAATTTTCAACTAGGTAACTTGACATCGTATAATTGGTGTTTTATTAATCATTTATTTTTATAAATACAACTATCTTATAAAATATAACAAGATCTGAAATTCTTTAATTGCCATATATAGATACTATCTAATTTAGCAACTAAACTTAGCAAAAAAATTCAATACATCTAGCACTGTCCTAACATAAAACAACACACCATAAGAAAAATACGTGTAAAAGAGAATTCATGCAGTTCAATAGAAGGTATTTACATTCTCTTCTTGAACATCTCCAGCTCGACCGTTGTAGAGTATAGAATGAGATTTTCAGAATGCATCGTCCTCAGCGAGACCAACACCATGAAATGACGTCAAAAGTGTGGGTGATTAAATTACATACATCAGCCAATAAAAATTAAGTAGCCAAATATGAGAAAATTAAAATTTGTTTGACATAATTTACACATAATTATTTTTCTTTCATTTAATCGTAGCTAAAAAAATTAATCATGAAATAATAATGTCAAAATAATTTTATGGATACATCAATTAAAAAAAAAAAACTTAACATTAATATCAAAAGTCCATACAGAGATTTTTTCGAGATAAAAAAAAAAAACTTGTTATGAAAGAAATTTTCATTAGAGTCTGTTTTAATATTATTTAACTAACCTGCAGAAGTTCAACGCTCTCGTTTTTTTTTCTCAAAATTAATAAAAGATAATTTCATTGATGAATACTAGTTACGGTGAAATAAAATACATTAAATATGATGATAATCTTCTAAAAAAAAAAATCTTATAGCATAGAGGCAGAGAAAAAAATAAAAAATAAAATAAAATATAGTGTTGAATTTATCTTCGTTAAAGTCCACTGTCTACATGTGAATTATCTCAATATCAATGAAAACATTATGAAATATTTGTCACATATCTTGATAACTTCTCATAATATACTTTTAAGTGGTGTTAAAAATCTATAATAAATATTTTCATTAAATCAAGACATCTTACAGCAACATTATGGATTATAACTATGGGTTCATTGCATCTTGATTGGATTAAATAATTGATTATGGTCCATTAAAGTTATCCATTATACTTAAAACCTAATTATATTTGCTAGCTAATTTCATTATCTTGATCTCAAATCATTAAAAAAAAAAAAAACAGCTTGTAAGGTACGTAGCTATGTTGAAACTATTATCCATAATTTTTGAGTAAAAAAAAATCCAAAATAAAAACAACTATTTTTTAATAAATTATAAGAACTAGATGGTCATTTTATCTGGAGAAAGATCCTAGGGTTAATTTTTTATTACAATAAATTAAATATTAATAAATAAATAGAGTATTACAATAAAAAAGAAAGATATATATAAATTGAATATGATGAAAAATATACAAGTGAAAATAAAGATACTATTCAAGATGAAAATTCTATAAGAATAATAGAAAGATCTCCTAAGGAGAGGAAAGTAAATTCCTTACTCTAAGCGCTCTTCCTTTGCTAGAAAATAAAAAGAATAAAAAATAAATAAAAGAAAGAAAGAAAAAACAGCATGCGGGTGCCGAATCCAATTGATATTTATAGCGCGCATGTGACTGGGCCTAGTGGGGTGTGACGTTAGAGTCAGAAAGCCACGTCAGAGATAAACTTGAGCCGTCGATTACTTGGCAAAGCTAACGATGATGCGCAATTTGCGGTCAGACTCGGAAAGAGACATGTGATTGGAGGGATCTGACGTGGTGCCCTCCTTTTATTTTCGTTTTCTATTTTTTTCCTTTCCAATCAGACAAGGCATTCTTCCCGACAAGATGACGTGTCTTGCAGGCACGCAATTTACCCTTTACTACGCAAGGTAGTGGGTCCCAGTTGACGTGGGCCCGAGCCATACTCGGAGGATCAGATCTGGATTTTTCAGTTTTTCAGTACCATCTTGGCTTGTCAAGATGAGTTGAGAATAGAGATGGCAATGTGCGGCTACCGGTCTGGAAAAAAAAAAAAATCATATTCCTTATTAATTAAAAAAATCATCATTTAAATTTTATTAGTTTATAAAACTTTGCTCGATTTATATTAATTTATCTATCCATTCAGTGATCATTCAGTGATCATTTAATATCTACTAAAATTAATTTATCAAATGTATTCGTTTTATACTCTATGATTTTTTTTAAAAAAATTTATCCTTATAATTTATTTATTTTGCATTTTGATAATTTATTTATAAGTTTTTTAGTCCTCAAAGTTTTTGAAAAAATATTTTTATCCTCAATTTTTTAATTTTATACACTTAGATAAAAAAATAAAATAAAAAAATAAATATTAATAAGATAAAGAATAAGTACTCGTCCTAAAATCATATTAATAGATATGTATCTTTTTTATCTTTATCTATTTTAATATTTATTAAACATTCTTAATAGATATTTATTGAACCGAATAAAACGAGATATTCATTTTATATTCCGTTCATTGTTATCGTTGGTTAGGAACTTAGAATGTTTATGTCAATTATATATATATAAACGTGATTTTAATTGTGAAAAAAAAGTAAAACTGATGATTATATATATTTTTTTAAATCATCTTACTAGCATAGATTTCTTTTCTTTCGTACATGTATTAATGAGGAATAGTTGCTTTGTAAAACGAAATTTTTTAACGAATATATATTAATAGATATTTATTGAATCGAATAAAACGGATATCTATTTTATATCTCGTTCATTATCATCTCTCGGTTAGGAATTTAGGATGTTCATGTCGAAATTTTTTAAAGAATATATATTAATAGATATTTATTGAACCGAATAAAACATATATCTATTTTATATCTCTTCTATTACCATCTCTGGTTAGGAGCTTAGGATGTTCATGTCAATCACACACACACACATATGTATATATGATTTTAATTGTGAAAAAAGAAAAAGAAGTAAAAATGATGATTAATTTTTTTTTAAATCATCTTACTAACATAGATTTCTTTTCTTTCATACATGTATTAATAAGGAATAGTGCTTTGTAAAACGAATTTTTTTAACGAATATGTAACAAATAAAAAAAAAAAAAAATTCAATTAAAAAATTGAACTAAATTACTACTACTGTCATTGTCTTTATTCATTAAACAAATTTCGTTAAACATAGCGTTGCTCTTTAATTAGTTGAAATTTATAGCTCAAATGGACCAGTGTAGATTCTTTCTAGAATTTTTATTTTTTTTTCCGTTCTCAGACTGTATAAAAGGTGTTCATCTATTTACAGTATGGTACTATTATTTTTTGTTCAATAACAAGTAAGAGAAAAAAGTAAATAACCTTGCCACAATTAAAAAGAAGTAAGTAAATTGTTAAAGAGTAATATAAAGTTATTAATAGAATTTCACATAACAAGTTAAACTTTTGAATTGAAATGGTTATTTTACATATTATTAGAGTCTTAATGACTAAACAGATCACGAATTCAAATCCTACTATCCTCATTTTCTCTTCTAATTAAATAAATAAGCACATGACAGTGGTGAACTCGTATAAATTTCAAACCCAAAGAATTTTTACTTTAGAAAGTAATATAAAACTATTTATGAAACTTCAATAATAGTTTAAAATTTTGGATTGAAATAACTGAAGAAATTAGCTTGAGTTTCATGAGATATAATGTCTCCATTTGAATTGATTGAAAATTTAGGTTCCCTGCAATTTCTTTTGTTATTGTTGTTTTGTCGTATGCAACCTGAGTTATGATTTGAGTTTCATCTATTTACTCTGATTTGTATGATTTTCTCACCAAGGAGTTTATCGTAGAGATCTTCAAATGATACAGGAGTATCACGAACACGAACAGCAATCATCAATTCTTTAAACTCATCAACAAAACCATTAGAATATGGACAATGATTTCTGAACTACTGAAGGGATAGGCAACAAGAACAAGATCACCAATAATGCTTTTAACTCTGTTTATATAAATGGCAACTAATTTGTCTTCCTTTTCGTGGGACACGAGCGAGGACAAGAGAGAGAACATATGGGTGTTGAACGATTGACATAAGTGCTTTCTAATTTGTTCCATGTTCCAACTCGAATGGTGCAATTATTAACGATAGGGTCGATTGTGCTGTGGAAGGTGGTTTGAATTTCCAAGATCATTAAACAGTCTTAGCGAAGCCAAAAGACATGATTTTGGTCGGTGTTAGGTGACAAGATAAAACACTATTAACATATCCGAGCAAACCATAACTAAATAGAAAATTGGTTATTTGGAACTTCCATGCTGCATAATTTTTCCCACCCTTTGAGAGTTTGAATGGAATTTGAGATGATGCATTGAGAGATACCAGATTTCCGTTTGAGGGAATGATACTACCTTGAGTTATCGGGTTTGCACAAACATGGATTGCTACTGAATTTTCTAAGGTTAAAGCCAAAAGTGTTGATGAAACTCGTGGGTTTTGTTTTGACGAGATAAGTGTAGATGATATTGGAATAATTATCTCGATGACCATAGGAGTTTACGATTAGGTTAAAAGAATTTGAGAGGAGAAAAGTTTTTTATTATAATGACGGAAAATAATATAAAATTATTTTTAAGACTTCATTTAATAGTTAAAATTTTTAAATTGAGATAATTATCTTTTATGTGGCATCATAAACTTTTTTTTAGGCAAAAGTATAATTTGTCCCATTAATTTTAGGAATTAATCATGAAGCAAGTATTAACATATCCATTCAAGAGGAGATAATTAAACGTTGATTTCTTGGTCTTTCGATTAAAAAAAAAAAACCCAAAGATATCGATGTAGTTGCAATTCATGTATGTGAAATGTTGCCCAGGACAATTCAAACATCACTATTTGCAATCTGATTTAGTTCAGAGATTGAGCCAGAAGTCAATTTGTATCAAGTGGATTCTTGAAGCTTCTGAATGATAAAATTTTATGCTGAAATCAGTTTAAGGTAAAATGGTTAATTAAATTTATCAATTTTATAGTCAATACATCAATTATTACGTGCATGGTTTGCTTAAGGTCCACTCTATAATACGATAAAGTTAACCAAAAAATATTCTAATAATTAGAAACGAAAAACAAGCGATATTGTCAACAATACCCACCGATGTGGCTATTGCCTAAATGTTTAGGGAGTTGGTTCATTGGTTAAAATGTTTGTTTATTTCATTGAGTTTTTAAATTCAAATATTAGAACCAGTAGAAAAAAAATTATTTTCTTGAATTTATCATATTTATATGGAATCCGTCTTTAAAATTATTAGAAAATAAATTTAATCTCGTTTAACGTGTAAATTGTCATTTGAATGCAACTTAACATTAACAAAAGAAGAAGAAGTTATAATTAAGTTAATTTTTAAATAAATTAGTGTCGCCAACATTCAAACAGTTGAACTTCAAAATTAACCGATGCTAAGATTGATTACCATGACCTAAATCTTCAGCTGCAAGATAAGGTGAAGAATTCAAATTCCCACAAAAGTAAACCATACAAATTAATATAATTTCCATATATGTATGTGAACTCGTGTTCGAATGCCAAGCGACAATGGTGAGTTAAAGTGGGCTTACGAAGTCCAACGTTTTCTCGTCGCAGCTTACTCTGGCTTCTTGTGGGCTGGGGTTGCTGGACTACGACAGTTCTGCGCTGGATACAACAAAGTCAAGTCCATCAAGCTTTATAACAAATTCGGTCTCTAAAGGCCCAAAATACAAACGACTATTCGTTCCCCCGGCCCTAACCAGCTCAATCCTCAGTTTTCATCCGCTTCATTCACAGGACCGTTTTCTTCGATTGACCTGGCCTTCCTCTTCTGCTAACCGCTGTTCTTTTGCCTGGCAAACGTAGGACCCAAGGTTAGATTTGGTTTAATATTACTCTGGGTGACATCCACGTGTCAGTCACCATGCAAGAGAATCACATAGCTTCATCAGATCAATTATTATCATTAGCAGCAGCATTACCAAAATTAACATGATGTTCAGATGCCAGTTGTCTACTCCTTTGGAACTTTCCACTTCACTCTATATATACAAGTACAAGCCTTATACATCGATAATTATCTACTTTCAATCTATCAAAGATCGAAATCATTTCCCCAGAAAATGAGCCTCTGGTCATCAAAATCCAGCACTGTCATAATGCAGCAATTTCTAGTTGTTTGGGTGGTGATGATGGCAATGTGGGGAGTCCAATTTACTCCAAATGTGATTTTAAGGCAATCTTCAACTTTGGCGACTCAAATTCCGACACTGGTGGGTTTTGGGCAGCATTTCCGGCACAGTCTGATCCTTTTGGCATGACTTACTTCAAGAGACCAGCTGGTCGGGCTTCTGACGGGAGGCTCATTGTTGATTTCTTAGGTAATCTCTGTTCTATTATTATTAGGCCTTGTTTGTTTTATCTTTATCTTATTTTTGATATCTAGTAAAGACAACTTGAATACAAATCACTTAGTAGATAATCAGTACCATCCATGTATGGGTATCAATTAGGACTAGTTTGGTTGGTTGTCTCTAACAAATATAAATTAGAGCTCATTCATTTTGAGATAAAAAGGAAAAATTAGGTGAAGCATTACTTCTGTCACGTAATCCAACAATTCAAAGAACTTTTCTTTTTTGCTTTGAAGGAGCCTTCAACTTCAAGGTCCTTTCCTTTTTGCTTTGAATCAGCCTTCAACTTCAAGGCTACTTTCAAGTGCTTGATTTCCTCCTCCAGCGCGAAACTGGAATTTTAAAAATGGGATGACAGTATTTTTTTTTGCTTTTCGGATAAAAATGAAAATAAAATAACAAATAAAAGACCATGGAGATACTATAACATTTTCTGAGACGCAAAATACATATTTCTTAATAAATAACTCTTAATTTTAAGGTTATAATTAAAAAAATTCAAAATTTTAGAACTAACCTGTAAACTTTCTCAAATTTTGAGAGTCCGGAGCACCCTTATCTCTAATACCCGACTTCCGCTCCAGACACAGACAGGACCCATTTTGACTACACTATGATCTTTATCTTTATTGAGTAAATTATAAATTAATCTTTTTAGTTTTAATAAATGAATTCTATTGTTTTAACACTAATTTTTATTAGTTCTTTTATCAATGTTTGATTTTGCTTAATTTAATATTATTTTTTTTTAATTTTTTTTCTCATCAACCTTTTCATTATATCTATCTATTTTTTAAATTAAAAACAAAATAAATTAAAAAAAAACATTATGAAAAGAAGTAAACAAATATTTTAAAAAAGAGAGACTAATTAATTTATTTATCAAAACTAAAGGGACTAATTTATAATTCATTCTATTTTATTTGGCAACTTCTTACCAGAAGACAAAACAACAAACTGGAAAATTTTGGATTACTCAAGTTGCCGACAATAATGGCCACAAATAATATAGCGAGGGCGATATGACATTGCTTCTTCGTTTCTTTTTCTTGGGAGCTTCAGCTCATGGTGAATGGTTTTAGATCTCTAGGTAACATGAGCCATACACATATGGCAATACCAGAATGAACTTTATACATATTTTATTACTTTTACAATTAAAAGATAGTTCTAAAAAGAAACTTAAAAGGTTCATAGAAAAAAAAAAAAAAAGAAACTGGAAATTATTCATATAACTATCAATTCAGTATATCTGTCATGGTACATAGTCATAATATTAAAAATTCGATGCCTTATTTAGTAAAATGACTTGTGATATTTCACTTGACAGCACAAGCTCTGGGATTGCCATTTCTGAGCCCATATTTGCAATCAATTGGATCTGATTATAGACACGGAGCCAACTATGCAACATTGGCATCTACTGTACTATTGCCCAACACTTCCCTATTCGTTACTGGGATCAGCCCTTTTTCTCTGGCTATTCAGATCAACCAAATGAAGGAATTCAAAATCAAGGTTCAGGAATTCCATTCCACTCGTAAACTAGGTGTGTACTCACCATAATTCAAGCTTCCCCAATCATGTTCTAGGCTAGATTACAAAACTAATTTTTCTTGTTTCTTAATATACCACTAAGAATTGACATTTATCGGCTACCAAGCTAATTTTGGGTATCTTGTCTTTTAGGATCAACGCATCTCCCATCACCGGACCTTTTTGGAAAGTCTCTCTACACATTTTATATTGGTCAGAATGATTTTACATCAAATTTAGCTGCTATTGGTATAGGTGGAGTAAAGCAATATCTACCCCAAGTGGTTGCACAAATTGCCAGTAGTATCAAGGTTAGCATGCACTTTTGAAACTATGAAGAAGCACGCACAAGCATGGTGGCCACGGGCCCAATAAACAACATTACTTCAAGTAAACTAAAGGTTTTATTGGACATGGCTAAAATTAAACCCAACACAATCCAATACCAGGTTCTTGTAGGCTAGCCTTCTGCCCAAATTCATTGTGATTGCTTGCTGCATATTTGGTTTTGCAAACATGACTTTATTCTCGCGTTAATTAATTTATGTAACTTTGAAGGAGCTATATGCATTAGGAGGGCGAGCATTTCTTGTTCTCAATCTTGCACCGGTAGGTTGTTATCCTGCGTTCTTGGTACAGCTTCCTCATGACAGCTCGGACGTCGACGCCTTCGGTTGTTTGATCTCTTACAATAATGCGGTGGTGGACTATAATAACATGCTGAGAAAGGCACTAAGCCAAACTAGAACGGCACTCCCAAAAGCTTCCCTGATACATGTGGACATCCATGCTATTCTACTAGAGCTCTTCCAGCATCCCACTTCTCATGGTATTTTTAACCTTAATAAATACCATTTTTGTTTATCTGATGATTAAACATCTGATAAAATTTGTTTCCAATATTTGTTTTGGAGTAGGGCTCAAATATGGTACCAAAGCATGTTGTGGCCATGGAGGAGGCAAGCACAATTTTGATCCTAAAGTTTACTGTGGAAATACCAGAGCGATTAATGGAAGCATTGTAAGAGCATTAGCTTGTGGCGACCCATACAAGTATGTTAGCTGGGATGGAATACATGCCACAGAAGCAGCAAACAAGCTTACTACAATAGCTATTTTGAATGGGTCTTATTTTGATCCTCCTTTTCCTCTTCACGATCTCTGTGACCTCCAACCTATTGATTGATGTTTTCTCCTTAATTTTAGGAACTAAAAAATAATCACTCCATGACGCTCGCCAGGCTAATGGTCCCCGAAACTTTGATTTATTATGTTTAGTTGGATCCTCAAAGTTCAAAGCCGTACCTGTACCTGTGCTAATGCATTGAAAAAGGTGCAATGATTATTAGAGCAAACTCGATCTAATGATTTTCCTTACATACTATTGCGACAAACCATTTACATGTTTGCTTTGACCTTGTGAACCGATTCGGTCGTTGATGACAAAATGCATCATATAAATTGCATTTTCTCATAGGTTGAAAATTATACGCATTGGAATTTACACATGCTATCTGCTATAGTTCGTTAAACAATCATCTCAGCTAAAAAAATCGAGCTATTAGTATCACAAATATCTTTTCATGTGATTTTATTTTATATTATATATGTTATTATATATTTTCTTTGAATAAAATTATAAGGGACAGCTAAAAGTTTAGAATCTTTCTTCTCTTATGTAATTTCTGGTTATAAGTTTAGTTCACTCTGAAAAGCAACTCAATTGAATCCAGTTTAATCAGCTACTAATTAGCTACTAACTAGCTAAGAAAGACTTAGAGGAGGGGGATGAGGGAAAAGTCGTAGGTGAGAAGTCGGTCGTAGGCGAGGAGGAGGAGAACTTCACGCCTTTCATTTCTCGTAATAGGTCTCGTGATTGGGATAAATTGAACCCGTTCTCTTCAGTTACTAAAAGATTTTTTTTTTTTTTTATTTGACGACACCAATTTGAACAATCATTGCTTGAGCAGTAAACTTTTTATTAATTTTCACTGCAATTATATATTTGACTACATTCAATTTTTTTTACAATGAGGTGCAAACTAAAAACTTAATTTTATATCAACTCACTCGTAATTTTAAATCAGTTGTAAATTGAGACAGCAATTGACAGTGGCTTCTAGTTGCCTAGGAACATCAGACTTTATCAGCACAGCTGGACACATTAAACCTATCAAGCTTTAGCACTCGAGACCCTAAAGACCCAAAACAAAGACCACTTTCCATTCTCCGAATTCCTAAAAAGCTCAAATCTTGGAGTATTATATTCAGGCCGCTTTCCAATCACCTCACCTAATTTCTAAACAATTCTTTGCATCCTCAAAATATATGTTATTCGTTCACTATGCTATGTTATATTCTATTAAAAGCATAATCAAACTATCTCGCCATTCTCTGATTACTAAGGATCTCTTAATCAACTCGAGGGACTTTTTTTTTGCAGGTGTTTGGAGTGAAAAACCACGAAGCACTTTCGCCATATCTCATGTTTGCATTCAACTATAGCAAGTCACGTCACTTTCATTCTACTGGACTAGTTTTCTCAAACTCATTATTAATTGCTGCCATTCAATTGATTAAGAGTGTATTTTTTGATAACCTAATAAAAGAATATATTGCATGCAATTCCATTAATGTTGCTCCCTCTTTAAGATAATTGGAGTCACCACTTCACAACCAATTCATTATGAAAAATCACAAAAGTATCCAATGAGGAAAAGCTTGTAGCTGCAAACAAGAGCTTTTTAACTCTGATGGCAAAGGTTTGTATTTCCACATGAGTTTCTGATTTTAGAAAAATAATTCATCCTTGCGAAGTTTATGATTTTTAATTACATTTTGGACATGATGTGCTTTCAAATATAATTTAAATAACATCGTGTTGTTAACAAGTTTCTCTTATAAACTACTAGATGTAATATTTAGGTGTAATCGCGAGTTCCGTAATTAAGAAGATGGAACTTCCATGGATATGGAATCGAATTTTTTTAAATAGATAATTAGGGTTTCAAGTAAGAAAATCTTAACAAAATGTAAAAGTATGGTAATTAAGTAGAAACTAATAAAAGAAGGAAGAATAAAAAAGATAAATTACGTTAAGAAAATCAGTAAAGAAAATGATTACAAAAGCTTGTAAATAAAAAATAAATATTGAAAATAAATGGTAAGAAAGATAAAATAGAACTTTAAGGAAAACTATATTGAAATTCTTGTAATATGATTGGGTAAAAATTTACAATGAAATATATTGTTTCTTTAGAGAAATTATTTTGCTTTTGCGGTGCATACAAAGGTTAAAAATGTTATAGATGTGCATTGGTGTGGTAATTGACCTTGAAATGGTTTATACTTATAAGGTGTGGGTCTCTGTTGATAAGAAAAACTTTGTTTGTTTTTTTAAATAAGATTCATTGATAGCCGGCTCATGTGCAGTTATTGAAATAACAACCATTGTTGTTGTGACCATGTAACTCGGAATACAGTTCATGTTTTGTCCTTCTTGAGTACCAACGTCGGAAGTGTTATTTTTAACATTTGATATCCAGTGAATTTTACAATCATAAGAGCCAATTTGCCGACCTAACAAAACCTGATTTCAAGAAGTACACCCAGAAGCATGAACAAATATCAGAGGATGGTAATCACTAATTACTTAAATAAAAATAGAAGGTTAATTGGTTCTAAACACGAGAGACGTAAGAGTAAAAATATTTTCAATTTTTAATTTTTCTGGTTTAGGTCCCAAATCGTTTTTCTATCAGCAATCAAGTTTTTTCTTCTTCTTTTTTTTTTTTTTGACCAATCTTCAACTATATAGAAGAGACACGTAAAAGTAAAATGACAAAAAATCTAAAAATACTGTTAAATTCACTAATAGAATTGCTATTTCCATTATTAAAAAAAAATTATCAATATAATTTCTACCAATATTTGATATTTAATGATTATTTGTAATTAATGAAAGATGTATTGATAATTATCTTAAAAAAGCGATGAGAATAATTAAGTTAATTTAGCACTATTGAAAAAAAATGCTAATAACTTTATTTCTATCATTCTCTTTAAAACAATGCATAATATATAAATTAAAACTATTAACATCAAATCTTTTCATATAATTTTAAAAATAAATAAATAAATAAACAAAGAGTATTTTAATTTTTTACATAATATGAGATTTATTATAATTTAAAAACTTCATAAGAATATCGAACATTAATCAATTTTTATTCTTAGTGTTTGGCGTAAATATTTTTATTTAACAAGTGTTTAAAAAGAAAATGTAAGAAAGAATTTTACTAGCACCCCTCCGATTCAAAATTTAAATCCAAATTAAATACCAAATACCCATTATTTTTTCTCATGGTTCCTTTTTGCCTCCATTCCTCTCTCACTTTCCCTCTAATGCAGACTCCGTTGTTGTTCTCTCTCAAATTATCGATTACAGCTGAGAAGGGTCATTCTTTTCATGGCCAAAACTACACGAGCATTATTTCATCATCTGCAAATCCTTGCTATGATGAAGGCGTTTTCAAATCTGGAACTTCTCAAAATTAAGCTCCACCGTTGCCCTTCTTGAACTCCATATCCATCGTGTTATCAAAACATCACCAAGAGAACGTTGCGTGGACATGTGATGATTCTCAAACTGATGCATCCATGGCGTTTGATGTTGGATTGTTGTCAACTATAGAACAAGTTAAGCTGTCTCGTAATCTAAGCGAAAATTTGAGCTAACTGATTTCTCCATGACGTGAAAACTCTCTTCTCTCTAAAAAAAAAAAATCTCTCTCACAGCTTTAGGAAATTTCCAGTTTTAATTTGAGGATTGAGGTTTTTAGTCATTAAAATTTTTTCAATGCATTTGAGTCAATTCACATGCCTGAGAGTGTCTTTTGTAGGACATGTGTTTGTTTTTCATTAGACCACGTGATTTTCACTTACAAAAAAATCCAGGTTGATCAACGAAAAAGAAAAACGACATAATCGAAGTTGTATAAAAAAATACTCAAAACCTAAATCGAAAAATTTTAAAGATTGGAGACTTTTTTCATTTACTAAAAATTCAGAATATTATAAAATCAATTAGTCAAACCAAGATATTGTAGAACCAATTAGGAGTTAAGCATGTTCATGCCGATATTTCCTCATCAATCATGTTTTGAACAATGTGCCGAAAGGCAGTCAAAAAAGAATCGTCGGACTAATAAATTTCTTAATTCCCTCAATCAATTTTCAAACATAGATGCCACAACTTTGAAAACATGTATCACAAATTACAAATAATTCCTCTATAATCAATTGAAAAAAGAAGAAGAAGGTATCATCACTTGTAAATTAAAGTAAGAAATGTACGAAAAAACTGAAATGTAGTCAAGGAACATAATCTTGCTCAAGGGTTGGCTGGGTTCTAACCATTGGTGCTGAAGGCATTTTACTTCTTCCAATCGAAGTTGTATCAAGAACCACCCCACTTTCAGACTCTGCTTCCATTTCTCTGAATCGTTTACTCCTCACTAGTTTAAAAGTGGTGTATCCAATCACACCCAACAAAACCACTGCAAAAAGCCCAGCTGCAAATCCAACCACCCACCATATCCAAACTCTGTTATTCTTCGCTACTTCAGGATTTTGAACAGCAACTGAAAAATGACCATCACCTTGTGTAATGCAAGTATTTTCCTTCGTTAAGTTCCTAAAGTGGACCAATCCATCTGGACCAAGTTTGACACATTTTAATGTCTCAAGATTGCCTTTTGTCATAAGGTTAGGAAAGTTGATCAAAATGGGGTCACCCAGAACGCTAAACTTGAGTGCCTCATTACCCGATGCACTTAAATTTGAAGCATCATAAGCCATGAGGCCAACAACAGGAGCGACTAACGAATAACCAGGCACTCTGTAATAACGAGTAGACCAATTTCCCAAGTTTTGATATACAATAGATAGTCTCTTCACAAATGGGAATGGAATAACCCTTGGTGGGATATAAAAAGAACTGAAATTGGCTCCTCTTTCCCAGAGACGACCACTTCTTAGCCTAACAACCGAGACTTCCATGCCAGAGAAATTAGCAGGGAGAGAAACTTTTAATGAAGTACCTGTACGTTTCTTAGCTTGTGCCTTCATTGCGTATTGGTGAATCAATTCATCTAAAGACTCAGGGTCATAGCTTGTTAAGCCATGAACATGTGAAATTAATAACAAGAACAAAGAAAAGATGTGCCAGCTTCTGTTGCACGCCATCAAGATTGCGCCCTTAAGCCTCTTAACCTCCTGATTTACATGTTGAATTCCCCCAGATAATTCATCAATTAATGAATGCTATAATAGAAAAACATCAAAGCCTGCCTTTTTCCATAAATTACAAGAAACTAGAGATCACCTTTGCACCCATATTAAATGTATAGTGCAATAGGAACCCAACGAAATAATAAAGAACGGCAATGTGTGTATTGAGAAGGTAAACCAAAATCACCTTTAATTAACAAACGAAAGTGGTTACACAATGAGATCAGAAACTCTGAATTCTTCAATGGTTTGTCGTGATATTGTTGGAAGTAGTAGCTAGGATGCGATATTAGGGGCGTGGAGAAAATGCAGCAATGGAATATGTCAGCTTATTTAATGGGGCATGACAGGTTAGACTGGCACCAGAAAGAAAGAGCCCTTTTCAATTTCTTTTCAGTTTTTGTGATACCTGGTCAACTGGATTACAGGTTAGACAAGACAAGCAATGCCAACGAGGGTATTGGGGTGGATTAGTCCCACAAGAGTGGATTGGATCTCGTAGGTACAAGTCTAAAAATAGACGATCGATGTTAATTTATAGGCAAAATGATTTGAAGCTATGAAATACAGTTACAGACACACGACCTATTTATAAGCTGGTTCATATACTATGTACTAAACATCTTTTTTCTTCTTTTTGGGGAACCACAATATAACCCATTTCGATTCTTATCAAATGCTTTCGATATGTGCAAAGTTATTATACTAATACTCCGTATGTTGTTTTCAAATGCTTGGAGATACTTTGAAGATAGTATACGTATGGGATTGTTATGGCATGGACACATTTTATGGTGCAGTGACTGTAGTCTTTGCTATTTTCACTGTGTCTTACTTCATTTTGCTACCATCAAATTGAAATAATAACAATAATAATGATAATGTAGGTTTAGATGGATAACACAACTGATTAATGTTATTAAAGAAACTGAAAATTAATAATTAATGTGTTCATTTGTCTGCTTTCCAACAACGTAAAAAAAATCCATTTATTCTTGCAACAGTCCTTTGTTTTTATTCAAATCATTTGTACTTTTAGAATTTTTCAAATTGAATTAATTAGATGTAGTTTAATTGATATTACTTAGCTTTTTTTTCCCGAAAAATCTTGAATTAAAATTTCTCCAGTATAGCATAAAAGAAAAAAAAGCACTACTCAAATTGATGAATAGGCCGGCCTCCTATTATATATTTGTGTGGATGGCCATGCATTTTCCTTTGGTAACGATATTTTTAGTTCAATTTTGAGACTAAATCCCTTTTTATGGTCTATTCTAGAATTTAAATCCTAAATAACAATTTCTCTGTCTCAAAAAATTTATCTTTTTTATCTATATTTGTATAGTCAAAACTTTAAATAAAATATTTTTCTAAAATATCCTAAATTTTAATAAGAAAATCAATTTTTTCTTTTATTTCATGTTATATTCTTTATATTTTTCTCTTATACATATAAATAAATTTAATATAAAAACTTTTTTTTTTTTTGTAACATGAAAAATATTCATTTTTGCATAAATTTTAATGCATGCCAAAATTTTAAAAGTAAAATATTTTTATTTGTGTGTTATTTTTTATAATTATTTTAAAATTCATCGTTAATTAATTTTTTTTTTCAATTTATCATTTTAATTTTAGATAGATTTTTTTAAAAATTAATATTGATTTTATATAATGAATGATTAAATTTGATAACTAACAATTTTAATATAAAAATATTTTTAAAAAATATAAATAAAAAATCATTCAATAACATAATAATTAATAACTTTTTTAGATCCTATAAAAGAAAAAAAAAACAAAAAGATGATCACTTTAGATAAAAAGAGTACTGAATAAGAGGCAAACTTACTCAACAGCTCAGCTGCGTAATTATTACTGAAAGTGTGTTTTCAAAGTCAATATGCTCGAAGGTTTAGAAAAAAAATCCAAGATGTAATGACTTTGTTGAAAAAAATTAAGGAGTAATTACAAATGATTAATCTATAAATCTATTTTGAAGAGAAAAACATGCGGAAAAAAATCACAACGAATCTCACTAAAAATGATAAAAAGGTTTCAATCCAACTTTAAAAATATACTTTTCAATTCTCTCTCGTGTTTTTTTTTTTCCTCTCTTATATTTACCTCTCTTGTAAAATAAATATCTTGTCGCTTGCTATCATAAAATTTCTCCCTAGAATACTGCACGATGGGCTGGGAAACACTTTCACCATAGCATTTATTGGGCTAATAATACCCACTAAACTCCCAATTGGCCAATTCATCAGGTTGCCTCTCAGATGTCTTTAGCTGTCCTTAGCCCATTCGACAATTGCTATTATCATTTTTTTGTTAATATTGAAAAAACTAAATCTATTAATCCCGAAGCCTTTTTTTGTATTTTAGGTCTTAATCCGTTGGTCAAACAGAAAAATAGAAGTGAGAATAGTATTTCACATTATTTTTTATTGTTTTAATTTATTTCTTTTATAAATCTCTGTTATTACTGTACGAAGTGCTCACGCTCACACAACAAAACCAACCATGCGGGGCAGCGCGCCATAAACGTGGATTTTCAAGATAGGGAATCAACCAATCAAAAGGCACACCAATTCCACGTGTCATCAGCTGAATGAATGTTCGAAACACAGAACAAAAAATATCATCACCGGATAAATAAACAATGATAATAATAAATAAAAAAACAGAGCGAATAGAAAAAATAAAGTAAAACAAACACTAGGAGAAAGGCAAGAAACAGAGGATAGGAAGCAAGAGCGCCACACATCGAAAATCCAAATGGCATCGACGGTGATTGCGGCGGCAGCATCTTCCTCCATGGCGGCCACCGCCATCAGAACAACCCGCTGCTCGGTCTTGCCTTACCTCCCTCCTCGCTCCTCCTCTTCCCAGTCATTCCCCATCAAACAAGTCTCCCTCTCAGCTTCAGGTATATCATTATTCTTTAACTCAGGTTGAATGAATGAGTGAACACAAGAAAGACAAAACCAAGCAAATCCCACTTACAAAAAAATACAAAACAAAACGAGGAGGATAATAATTATAGAAAGTTGTTAATAATTAATTCTGTTTTTTAGTCTTTAGTCAATTTTGGCCTGCAAGTTTCACAATTTGCTATTAGTAAATGTCTCCTGGGAGAGGTAACCTAGTACATTATTTATTTCCCATCTATCTATAAAGTGCTAGGTATGAGCGTCATTAAGACGGGTTTCTTTCTCATTTGCAAAGAATTACTGCAAGGAAACAATTTAGTATGAATAATTAATTGGTGCTCTAAGCACAGTATTTTGCTGTGTAATTTCCAGCTAGAGCAATGTCCTTGTAGACCATTAACATTATTTTTGTTTGGTAGAAGGGAAAAAAAATCGAAAGGAATGTAGTTGGTTCTCTTAAATAAAAGCATTAGCAAGTTGAAAAAGGAATGAGAACGTCTTTGGTGGGTAATCATAGAAACTCTAGTATTGCTTTTGATGTCCCCACTGTGATTCTTTGTATTGTTATCAAATTGCTTTGATAATTTTTCAGAGAGTTGGGCAGAAGGAAAGACAGGAGGGTATGTGTATTCTTGATAGCAAGTGAATGGTAATGGGAGCAAGAAAAAAAATTGTAGAGTGGATCCAATTTGATTTAACTTTCATAGCTGGTGCTTATCAATGGGACTGAAGTTAAGGACTGAGCAAGATATTCACCTAGCAAACATATATGGCTTTCTTTTTCGTTTCTCTCCTTTTGTAGGATATACAGCCTTTTGGAATATTTAAGTGTTAAAAACATATTTCGGGATTATGTGAGGATTAAAAACACATTTGCAGACCATGTTTGGGTGGCTTTTCCTTGTCTTTTAATGTTTTTGTGAGATGGTTTAAGGTGCCTCTGAATTTGTAAACATAGCACCTAAGCTTGAATAGTTGCTTCTGTTGAGATTTTGAAATTACATACCAAGCTGTATTGTTCCTTTCAAACAGAGTCCCGCAGGTTTGCTCCACTTCAGACCAGAGCCTCTTCTTCAGAAGAATCCTCACTCGATGCTAATGAGATTTTCACAGACTTGAAGGAAAAGGTAAAAAACAAGCTTGGCTTGTTACTCCCATAGACAGCTTGGCATCCTTCAGTGGTGCTTCTCCTTCTGAACAGTACCATTTTGGCCTAACTTTCCATTCCTTTTTGGAATCCCCTCAATTGTTGGACTGAAATGAATTGCATCTGTTGTCAATGCTAGTGGGATGCAGTTGAAAACAAGTCCACGGTAATAATCTATGGAGGCGGAGCAATAGTTGCTGTTTGGCTATCATCGATTATAATTGGTGCCATCAACTCAGTACCTTTGGTAGGTTATTTTTTAATTAAGTATCGAGGAGATGGGTGCTTTTCCAATTCTCACATTTGCTGACTTTCCACTTTATCAGCTCCCCAAAATCATGGAGTTGGTGGGGCTTGGATATACTGGATGGTTTGTCTACAGATATCTTCTATTCAAGGTAAGAGATTCAGCATGTTTGATCTGTTCTTAGTGGGTGTATGTATGCTTTTGACTCTTGTCGTGCAATCTGCTCCTGTCCAATTAAGTCAAGCAGAAGAAATATACATATTAGGCAATACAAGCTGCTAACATCAATCCTAGCTCATTTTTTATTGCTATAATTTAAATTCCACACGTTCTGCATTCTTGAAATTGCTACAAGTTGATATAATGTCGGACAAAACTGATAGTGGTCTATAACTAGGCAGATTTTATTCAATTGAAACCCAGCATTGAGTAGCAGTTGATATTTTGAAACATGTCCTTTGGGCACTTGGTAGACATTCTGCAAAAGAAATGATTATACAATGTTCCTAACCAACAAATTGCTAATAAATGAAACATTTTACTTCCTCAGTCGAGCAGAAAAGAACTAGCCACGGATATTGAAGCATTGAAGAAGAAGATTGCAGGAACTGAATAAATTTGCATTGTTGGGCAGTGGATGTATTTTCTCCAATATCAATTTATTCTGCATCTTGTATTCTGTAATGTAGAATAGGCCTTGTATGAGTTCTGTTATTATGTGTATTTCCCGGTTCATTATTGTAACTTCATGTGTGCTTTAAGATGGATATTAATTATCTTACGTGCATGTTGATGATTCACAAGCGGTTCCCCGCACCCAGGATCACACTGCAAGGCTACTTCTCCAAAATGTGACAGGACTGTGCTGCCAACTTAATCATATCCGTTTACTAGGGTGCTGATGTTAAATGACTGACTGGAACTTCACTAAATGCTGATTCAGCCAAATATTATATGTTTCTTGCAAAAACACGAACACTTGATCAAGGAAGCAGGATTCTTTTGAATATATCATCCATCATTATGAATAAAAAAGAAAGATAGACCAGAAATCATTAGTTTCTTTATTTTAATTCTCACACCGGTCAGTTGACTTATTGTTGACCAATGATTTTTTATTTGTAATAAAGGGAATTAAAAAATGAGAAAAAAAATCAATAATTTTTGGAATTAAAAAACTAAAAACAAATCAAAATTATTTGTAATAAAAGGAAAAAAAATTATAAAAAGACAGGTCATTTGTAATAAAGGGGGAAAAAAAAGAAACCAAACCAGCTATAACCAATCATTTTTAATAATAAAAAAATAAAAATAAAATGATTTTTTTAATTTCAAAAACTATTTTCATATCACCATCTATAAAATCATCCATCATTAATTCATGCAAAACCTCAGTCACCAAGTACATCGAGGGCAATATAAACATATTGCTTTATATGGGCCAAAACAAGCCCAAGAATAGCCCTCAAGAAATCCTCGCCATGAATTACTTTTAGAACCATCCACCCAAAGCCCAATCGCATGCTGAAGCATAGCCCATGATCATCTTAAATCTTCTAAGATCAAGCCGAATCATTGCTAACAATGTCTGATTAGTCGAACCTTAATATGCCAAAAACACACGGAATAAATCGTTTGGCTTGTACATTAATTAACCCTGAACTCTACCAACTATTTTTCGTTCTCAAACTCGGTAGAATGAGCCATACAAATAATAATGCACACATCTAATGCCATGCATGTACGTGGAAGAAGATCAAAGGAAAAAAAATCATAACCAATGCAACTCACAACAAATCTTAATACACATTTAAAAAACAAACAAAGCATCATCAACCAAACAACTCTAAGAAAACAAAACAGGGCATTGCAAATCCCAAAAAACAATAAATTTATACGTTAATAACATACTAAAATCCCATATACCTAAAAAGCATACCACAATTACTTTAAAAAAAAAAAAAATTCCAATCTTAAACTATATCCAACCGAAATTTTTTTCCTTTGAAAAAAAAAAGGAATTTAAAAATAGTGAATTAGATCTCATCAATATCCTCATCTTCGAAATCAAAATGATCATCAAGACCGTCTTCATCATCGCCACCATATATTCCAACACCACCAGCAACCGGATCATTCAATTTAAATTTTTCCGGCAACTCTCCATAAGCTTTCAATAACCTGGCTTCGTCAGGCATATAATTCAAGATGACGTCAACCTTATCATCTTGATAATCCCTGAGCCCCGCAAGGATAATATCACCAGCAGCAGTCCATACTTTCTTATGCATCTTTCCTCTGATATGACCAAGCCTTTGGATTCCGTCAATGCAATAGGTTTCACATCGACCGTTTCCTAACATACGTATTACTTGTGCGTATTCCTGACCATCTTCTTTGAAGATCAGCTCTCTTTTCTCGTCGTCTGCATCGTTCTTTCCTCTCTTTCGATTCTTGCCTCCCTTTCCCTTGTTCTTCGGCATCTTTGAAAAGAAAGTATTTGTTTGCTGTGATTGAAGCCCTAGCTTGGTGTTTTCCGCGAGAGTACCCTAGAGTTTGATGTACCTTGTTGTTTGCTTGACTTGAAAGAAATTGCTTTAGTGGCGCTGGGGTTACGGATTCAAAGGGGGTGGATTGCCGACTTCATGGCTTTTTGCCAACTTAAAACTGGGTGATTATGAGCTGGGCTTGGTGTGATTGTTCTCCAAGTTCGAATGGGATAAGCCCAAAGCCCAATGAGAATTTACATCCACAATATAATAATGATGATAAAAATACTACCATCGTCTCCAAAATTATCTTGGTGATTTTCTTTGGTTAATTTAACATAGGATTATATTAAATTATCACTAGTGTTGAAGAAATATTTCACCGTTTTTTTATTTTTTATTTTTTTTGTTCTTTTTAGGTCCATTAAGAGGCATGCAGAATTTGAGAGGTATAAAACAGATAGAATTTCCTTCTCTTCGTTTTTTGGTTAACCAGGAGGAGGTTCATTGAAACTTAGGCTACATAATGAAATTACCCCTCTCCTATTACATAATACTAATAAACTGAAGTTGTGAAGACTCGAACTTGGAGAACAATCACACCAAGCCCAGCTCATAATCACCCAGTTTACCCTTCTTCTTTTTTCCTTGTTTATCGAGAAAGAATAGAGTGAGTTTGCCTTGATATTTACAATAGTAGAAAGAAAAAAGGTATATGCCTTAATTTTGATGTCATGTTTCCATATGAAAAAAGAAAAAGAAAAGAAAAACAACTCCATCATATATGTGAGAGAGACAGATGGACTTGTTTATAGTTTATACAATGAGAGAATTTGTTCATTATTTTGTTGTTAATGTTAGGAAAGAATTTGTGAGGAAAGGGGTAAGGAAAAACATGGTGGCACAAGCGCTGGTCCAAATGTTCTACCACAGCTTTACATGGAGCATCTGGGGGGCCTGAAAAGGACCTGGGTGGTTACTGTTTGCCCAAATGGAATTGGAACAATATAACTTTGCTGGTGGAGGAGTTAGATTCATGCGAATTCGTAGAGTCTGTGTCATATTGATAGCACTCCCACCGTTATGGAACGTATCACAAAGAAATGAAGAATATATGCTGGCTGCAAAGCTTAGCAAATTTACATTTGCCAGAGAATGCTGCAATCTAGAACGGCTCGCTGCATCGATACCTATACCCCTATAGGTTAGTAACAATATGAGGTCATTTGCACAATGCAGCTCCTAACTTTGTTTTAGTGTAGGAAAGCTAGCCTCGCAGCAAACATGCATACATACACAAGCAGGAGGCAGGAGCACGAGTATAACGACAACCGAAGAATGCAAGCTACGGGAAGAACAAGCGAGCAACAAACCTTTATAGCCACATGAATCACAAGGTCGACAAATTAATGAAATACAACAGTAATCAGTTGTATGGTTCTCAAGTTGCATTCTTAACATAAAGGTGGTGAGAACAGAAATCCATTCCCTGCCAAAGATCTAACCCACATTTACATTTTCCTACTCATTTCCAAGCACCATCCAGCCTGAAAAAAAAGTAACATCCCTAATCATGTTTCAACCTCCAAACCAAAACTAAATCAGCAACATAGTATTAGTGCCTACTTATTACATTTCATATTTGGTCAAGTTTGGGAAGGAAATCAAAAGGGTTAGGACTTCTAAAGCAGAAAGCTTATAAGAGAGGGATTTAGCTAGTGTCTGATGGTAAGCTCTGCTCTAAGATGCAAGACGCCGTTTATGAAATAAGGACTGTCCTCAGCCATGAAGGAAGTCCATGCTAAGGCAAATAAGTTTCGGTACCCAACTGCCTTGCCACCGGTGAATGTGTAATTTCCATTGTATTTGCTAACAAAATCCACTGTTGGCTTTGACCTTGCTGCAAATTCATAGTCGACAGCAAAACTAACTGACCCCTTCTCCTGCATCCCCAGAAACAACCCAAAGCAATGGAAAGAGCTTTGCTGGTCCATGTTGCAATGTGCTGACAAGAAAAACCCTTGTCCACCAAGGTGGAATGCCTGAGAATATACCCGTCCAGAAGGGAACAGATTTGCACATTCCTCCCGCTTCAGGTCCAGGTATACCACACACTGCTGCCTGGGTAGTTCGAACTCTACTACTTTAACAGGCCGATACTTATATGCACGCTCCACAAAACGACGATTCAAGGTGGCCGATTCCTCTGCTGCCAGGGTTCGCTGCCGATGTGGCGGCTCACCCTTAAAAAAGAGAGCCTCGAGCACAAGCTTGGATGCAGCATCATGATCAAAGTCGGTACAAGTTAAAACCTTCTTAAGCTTACGGCAAGTCATGTAAGGGAAGCGAATGTAGCGTGCTAAGCGTGCACCCAGGACTTCGCGCCGCTCCTCCAATCTTGGAAACTGAGCCCTAGCCCACTTCAACACAAAATCATATACCGCATCTTCTGAAGCCACCTGCAGGTCATCACTGGACAATATTGCCTCAATTCCAGCCAAGGGCAGGGCCATTACCTCTTCTTGGAACCTGGTCAAAAGAGTGGCAGTTAGAATGTAAGCCTCCCAAAAAGTACTCATAGAAATCTCCATTCAAGACTTCAAATAAAATTTTAGTTAAGGATAGTTTTTGCTTTCTCCAATCTGATGCTATTGGCATCTTTAGCTCTTTTGGTTATTAAGCCACCCACCCCTTCACATTCTGAAAAAAGGATGCTACATGCATGCACATGATATCTCTTAAAAATTCTCGTTAATGGTAAGGCTTCGTATACTCTTGAAAGCAGTTAGAGCTAAATGTGCAGAATTTCGAGTTAGAATAAATTTCAAGTAGAACAGGAACTTACTTGCTCATGTCCTTGTAACGGGCTGCAAGGTATTGCTTTGCTGCATCAGTCAATGGCTGGACAGCTTCAGCCATCAAGACACTGGATGGGAGCTCCAGATAAAGCAAAGCAGACTCTGGTGTCATGGATAGGTTACGCAACTGTCGGCTGCAGTACCTCATGCAGGAAGCAACCTCAAACTTGTCAGCAGCCATTAGCACATCAAGCAATTGGGGAGCCTGAGAAGCAGTTAGAGTATTGCTGTACATAAAATTCAGTAACTCCATAAGGGCAGCTTCCTCTGTTCCAGGCGGGGAAAAAAAAGTAGAAATTTGTGAGAGAACTTCATCTCATTATGCAGATGCTTTATGACCGAATCTCTACAGTAACCTAAACCAATTACTGAAAACAGGTTGCATGTTACATGAAAATGTAGGACTTAAAAGAAGCACTTGAATCCTGCATTTGACATTCTTGTTTGAGCTTCACATGGCATGCAGAACAAAGAGTATGTAATAACCAAGAATAAAGGAGAGAAAATGGCAACAACTTATGAAAATGTTTTCAACAACCACCAAAAAAAAAAAAGAAAAGAATGAAGATGGTGGTTTCCACAACAAAGACGAGAATGTTGTGATGTTTTCCATACCAGAGGCATTGATGCGTAGTGTCACATGCCGCTGTTCTGACTCCCTCATTCCATTTGAGAAGAGCTACCCAAAGCAAGAGCATTGATTAATAGAAACACCTCAGTGATTATAGCTGGCAAACACATTTAAAACAGAAGAGGGACCTTTACCTTATAGAAAAATGGACTTTTGGCAGCTAAAATAGGAGAGCTGATGTGCAATGTTTTAACTCTCACAACTGTAGAACAATCCATGCTCCAAGATGACTCATCACCATCTCCCACTTCATCTCCTGCAGAATAACAAGCAAATTTATGGTGCGTGCAACAATATGGGAAAAGCATAGCGGGTATGCATATAGAATAACCACAGATGCAGACTTTTCAAAATAACACGAATTTCTCTCTGCCATATGAAAAGAGTAGTTTATACAAAGAACTTATAACAGCCAAGATTATAAATTCACCCAAAGGGATTGAACTGTCTCTACAGATTTCTCGAAGCCACAGGTGTTGTACATCTTTTATATTGTAATTATATAGAACTCTATAACATTCTAACCTCTTTTACAATCTCAATGTCCACTTTCCTTACTTCCTTCCATCAATTAAAATCCTCAATGAATTCTCCCCAGGTTCATGATAATATTGTTCTTAATCAAGTTAGTTCTAACTTAAAGATACATTGGTGTCAAGGAATCCTCCAAAAGGAAAACCATACAACACTTCTCAGGCAACCACGCACAAGCTGTCAGACACGTATAACATTCAGAAGATACGTGCAAACAAATAGATTAAAGCTCTAAAATCAAGGTACCTGAAGGTGACCCTTCAACCATTGCCTCTCCTTCCTCATCTTGATTGTCACACCCCACACAATCATCCATGTCAGGTTGGTTAATACCTAAAATCTGCTCCTCCGCACCTACAGATAGATCACCTGCACAAACATTGTAAGCACTCACCAACATCAGTAACCTTATGCTGGCTAAAACCAAACCAAACAGCACGAAAACATAATACACAGCAAGAAAGCACGCACCAATTCACAATTCAGCCATGACAAATTACACAGCCTTAAAGTATGGAAACAAAAAATAACAGTCAAAAGCTCTTTCTTCAGTTTCTCAGGACACAAACGATTGACACAGCAGCTAAGGCAGGTCAATTTCTTCTCAATTTTCGCAATATAGCGGCTCGATTTCATATCAATTGCAGCCAGACAGAGGTTAAAAAAAATCTTCCCTGGCAAATATTTAAAAAAAGGTGCTCAATTTTAAAAGCTGGGAATCCAGATTCAAATGCATATGATTTATTTATATACTCCAAATCAAATAACAAAACCTTTATTTTCATTTCGATTTAAATTTCAAGGCAACCAAAAATAATGCCTAAAAATCGCCAAAAAAAGAAACATCATGTGTCTCTATTTTTTCTTCGCGACCAAACAGATTTTGCTCCCTTAAAAAAAAAACAAGAAGAAGAAGAAGAGAAATAAATAAAAAAGAAATGAAAGAGAAACAAACCATTATTAGTATCCTTCTTGATATCTTCTCTCCTCCTCTTACGATGCCTGGCCCAATCAATAATACTAGTACACCCTTCACCATCGGCTCTATTCTCAGCCGAGCCGCCCATGATCTCGATCCGAAGAAGCCGGTCAGAGAAATTACTATCATTAAAGGCAAACCCGAAATCTCCATCGGAAGCTGAACCTCCACGCGTAAAATCGGAGTCCATCTCCGTTCTCGGGTCAAACAGATCGGAATTCGACCCTTTCAACATTCTACTAAAACCCTAGATAAAGAGACCTGGCGCAATATCCAGAGAGAGGGAGAAGATTTTTATCTTGTGTTTTGGGATGGTCGAAGAGGATTTTCAATTGGAGAGAGGGAGCGGTTGATGAATTTGTTTGTGGTTTGCAAAATTGGGGCTTGTTTACATTAAAGTGTTTTTCTTTTTTCCTTTTATCTTTTTTCCCTTTTAAGTTCTTGCAAGCAACTCAAGAGGGCGAGACATGGATACGGTCAAGTCAGGTGTGGTGTACTAAGCTTTGAATTCCTTTTTCGGGAGTATTTTCTGTTGCCCTTGGTTTTACTTTTACCTTTTGGGTTGACCAACGGTAATAAATTGTTGGTAAGAAAAGAGAATGGAAACAATTTTTCCAAAATACAAAGGATTATAAATATCGCATGACATGTTGTCTTCTTTTTGGTTTTGAGATCTGAAAATAAATAATTTGGACAAGTGAAAATAACTTTATTTATTTATTTAAAAGTAAAGGGTGGTATTTTTGAATCTTTACCATCAATATTTCATGATTTGAGACTGATGTCTTCGGTCATATCAATTCTTAAATAAATGAGAATCCATTTTTTTTAATAAGAAACTTCACACTTGATTTACGAAAATTATTTACACAAATTATTTAAATATCAGAACTAAACTCAAAATTCAAATCTATTACCATTTATGCTGGCTTCGTTCGTTAAATGAAAATAACTTACTGGTAAAAAGAATAAAAATGATTGGTGAACTTGCTGGTAAATATTATTTCCGCTAAAAGAGTCAAATCTCTCTTAAATTTTAATCTATTTAAAAATAAGTTTTTGAACTTTTAATTTTTAGATTTGAGTTTCTTGAATTTTATTTTATTTTATTCAATATTTAGTACATTATTTAGCTTTCTATTATTTAATCTAAAAAATAATAACACATAAATAGCTTTATAATAGAAATAATCTAGTAACATTTATCTAGAGTTCTCAAAAAAAAAAAAAAAGTTGAGAACATTGCCAGTTATTTAATATTTTTTCCTATTTTCTATAATTTTAATGTTAAATAAATATACTTTTCAAACTTGAAAATTTTTGAAATTTTCTAGAAAAATAGATTTTATTTTTCTCAATGTATGTGCAAAATTTCATCTCAAGATATCTAAAACCAGATTTTTTTAAAGAGGAATGATGATAACTGAAAATCATAAGATAAATTAAATCTTAAAAAAAATAAATTTTTAAAAAATCAAAATAAAAATTAGAAGTTTAAAGACTAATTTTCAAATAAACTAAAGTTCAAGAGAAATTTAACCCTTTTAACCTGTTATTCAAGTACCATTAGAATTTAATAAATCAGAAGTCCAAGTCCTTAACTTACAACATTAAAACCATTGCGTTCAAATATATATATATACACCACATTAAAACCAATATAATTTGATATAAATTTCGTTCAGAGGTCAATAATTCGGAACTACAGAAATCCACTGCTTTTTGAATTCTTTATTTGATATCAAAGAATTGTGGTCTAATTATTTTCACATAGATTGGGGTTTTAGATGCAAGTTTAGAGCTTTTTTTATGAGATCTTTTATATTTTATAAATTAATTTGATGGTTTTCATGCTCCTTTAACTTATAGTTCAGAGACAGTGTTTGATTTCTTAATTTATTTATGTGTTTTATGCAAGCTTGTAACTGGTTAAATTATAAATGATACATCTGAATAGATTGCTCCATCCATAAAAGAGAGGCTCCTAACACAACCATAGCTGGAATTACCTTCTCGAAAATAGAGGACTTCATGACCAGACAAACACCGTGCAGGTAGAATGATCCAGCATGGAATTCTTCTTCCCTTCTTCATGCTATACATAAAAGACAAGTATTTAATGAAAACGGGATTCATAAAAACGTATGGTACATCATCATTAGACATGATTATATATGTGGTGATGTAGATAAACATTTGCCTAAAAAGATCATCAATTTGCAAATTGATGTCAAAAAATCCGTTATACACAAATAAAAGGATTTAATTGCCTTCTTCTCGGTGGAATTCGACGATTCCTTTATTGTATAAAGACTAATTAACACTCTATGTGTTATGTGTTATGTCTTTTAAGTTCTATAATTGATATAATATTATATAACTATTCTTACTAAGATTAAAAAAAATAATAATTAAACATATTGAGGCTAAATATTTTATTTTATACGCTAACTTAGTTATCGAAGAATCTTTCAAACACTAAAATATAATTTGTTTTACAAATACTTGTTATTGATCTTTCCTCTAATGAACTATATCAACTACACGATCCATTTGGATAAAAAATCATCTAGATGTTAAAATTAATTTGAAGATCAAGAGCTCATCAATAATACAATGGTTTTTCATATTAAAAAAAAAAAAACTTATAAGTACTCAAATAAATGTTTGATATTTGAAAATAAAAATAAAATATGCAGGTAATATTTAAAAAAAAAAACAATGGAAATTGTGGATTACTGTTTGTGCAAGGATTTATGGAGTATTTGACATTATATATTTTATTCATAATTAAACAAATATTTACGAGATGGCTGTACTGGTCTCTTTATCAATACAACCTCGAGTGGGAATAGCAAATTGAAGAACAAGAATAGCACAATCAACCGCAAATAAGTTAAGATACAATTCCATAAAAAGAAAAGTTGCTGTCGAAGTTCAATTTATTAATTGCTCATGCGAGGGTTTGGCGTCCTAATCATAGCCGGTGGTTAATTGTGAAGAAGAGCAAATAAAAAAGATGGCATCCGAAGCCAGATACAAGATGTTGGAAAGACGAGTGTCAACCGTCAAATCTTCCTCAAGGCCGAATAAATTATAAATTAATTTTATTAATTTCGAAAAAATGAATCAGTTGATCTCTTTGTTTTAAAATTAATTATTTACTTTCTATATTTTTAAATTTTTAAACTTATTTTCAATCTATTTTGATTTTTTATTTTAAAAATAGAATAAAAATTAAAAGGATTGATGAAAAAGAAACATATTATTAAATTTGATAATATTAAATTAAACGTGGTTAACATTGATTAATGTTTAAATAATTAATTTTTAAAATAAAAAAATTAATTTATTTATTGTTAAAAAATAGAGATACTAATTTATGATTTACTCTTTAAAGTCCCTTAAAACAAACGAAATGAAAAGGAAAAAAAAAAAACCAAAAATTAATCAAAACCAAAAAAAAAGAGCTTGATTGATTAGTTAGAGTCAATTATACATTAGTTTTTCTTATTTCAATAAACGGAATAATTAGCCCATCTTGTTTTAAAAACTAATTATGTAATTTGTATACTTCTATTTTTTTATAATTTAATTCTTTTTGTGTTTTTTATTTTTTGTTTTATAAAATAGAAATAAAAAAGTTACCAGATATGCAAAGATTGATGAGAAAATATAATATTTTTATAATAAAATAATATCAAATTAAACATTGTAAATACTAATTAATAAATTAAATAATTAGTTTTTGAAATAAATAAGATCAATTAATTCGTTTTTAAAAAATAAACATATTAATTTATAATTTACTGCGTTATTTCTTTTACCGTATGCTGTGTGGAGCACGTTCAAAAAGTTGAGAAAAAGCAGGAATTAGTCATTGAAATCTTGTGACGGAGGGGGGCATGATTGACGGATTACTTTCTGCTTCAGGTCATACAAAATCAATATACGCATTATGAGCTTGACAATGGTTCGAAACTTGATTCAATTCATTTCTTAATTTACTTGTTGAATATTAGCACCAAAAAATAGAAAAAAAAAAGATGTTGAATATTACTCAACACGTTTTAGCTGGATAAGCTCTGCCTCAGCGCACACGTCGAGGCACTTATCATTATTCTCGTGAATGATTGATCATTGGTACGGTAAATTAAATTTACCTAGTTTAATTTGTTTTGGAGATAATTACTGAGGTTACTATAGTAAACATGATATCATAATATTTTTATAATATAATTAGGATGTTTTTCTTTATTAGCATATGTGTAAATATTGGAATAATTGACTCTAATGTTTAAGGATTTTTATTTTCTATAATCACTCTATATTTGGTACGTGCATAATAACAAATAAATAGTGAAAATTATTCACTTCATAATCTATTTTTTTCTATAGTCATAGCGGCTATTTCTATAATCAGTGATAAGAATGATTTGGTATCCATGATTATATGTCAAATATCACAATTAATACTAAATCTTCGTTCTAATTGCATTCCTCATATCATTCAACTTTAATTTTTCTCACACAGCTTCTAAGTGCGAACTGCATCAACTATTTTACTTGAAGAAGCAATTTTCTCAAAACTCTCCAATCCAAAAACAAAGTGGGTTTACAAATGGATCCATAGTTCAATCCAATGTCAATTCCAGGAGCTTTTAGTCTTGGATATAATGTACCACATTGACAAAATCCTGACCAATCAATTCTATTTCTAAAAAATTAGATATTGATGTAGCACATGTCAATACAGCCAGTGAGATATTGGGTGATTTTGAAAAAAAAGTTTACTTAAGAGATTGAAATAGAGCATGCAATTGTTATAACAAGAGAAATCAATAATATCTACGTACTATGAAAAATTAAAAAGCGTGTGGAGTGAGTTGTAAAATCTAAGGCTCATGCCTATTTGCACTTGTGGAGCTGCTATGAAGATCGAGGCGACGCGAGAAGAAGAAAAGGTATTTGACTTTCCAATGGGACCGGATGACGATTACCAGACGGTTTGATCCTAAATTTTGAGCGTTGAGCCTTTACCCTCACTTCATAAAGCCTATGATATTGTAGCACAGGATGAGAAACAGAGGCATATAATTGCTGTCCGAATGCCTGGCATGGAAGCCACAACATTAATGGCCAAGAAGCATATAACAGATCCCAGACAATATCATCATCGTCAGAGAGGTGGGAACCACCTTCATTGTAGTCCCCGCAACCGTGACAATCACAGCC